CTGATGATTATGTGTCTTGGGGGTGATCTTCTTGTGAAATACCTTACTGGGGTTCTTTGCATTTTCTGAATTTGAATGTTGGCCTCTCTAGCTAGGTTGGACAGGTTCTCATGGATGATATCTTGAAATACGTGTTCCAAGTTGCTTCCAGTCTCCTCATCTGTTTCAGGGACACCGGTGAGGTATGGATTTGGTTTCTTTACATAACCTCATATTTCTCAGAGATTTTGTTTTTTCCTTTTCATTCTTTTTTTCTCTATTCTTGTCTGACCGTCTTAGGAAGCCAGTCTTTAAGCTCTGCTCTGCGATTCTTTCCTCAGTGTGATCTATTCTGCTGTTAATAGTTGCAATTCTATTATGAAATTCTTGTAGTGAGTTTTTCAGCTTTATCAGGTCGATTACATTCGTTTCTATGCTGGCTATTTTGTCTGTCAGCTCCCATATCATTTTATTGTGGTTCTTATCTTCCTTAGATTGGGTTTTAACATATTCCTGCATTTCAGTGACCTTCATTCCTGTTCATATTCTGAATTCTATTTCTGTCATTTCAGCCATCTCACAGTTCAGCACCCTTGTGGGAGAGGTAGTGCTGTCATTTAGAGGAAAGAAGGTACTCTGGCTTTTTGAGTTGTCAGAGTTCTTGTGCTGATTCTTTCCCATCTTTACGGGCTTATGTTCCTTCAATCTTTGATGTTGCTGACCTATGTTTTTTTTTTTTTTTTCTTTCTTTTATCCCATTTGATGACCTTGAGGGTTTGATTGTGGTATAAGGTGGGCTCTGTCAACTGGCTTAATTTCTGGAATATTTTAGGGGGCCAAGCCTCAGCTCCCAACTCCTGGACTGCATGCTCTAAATCTGGGGGACTTGTATCCAGCCTCAACTTTGTTCTCTGACTCCTCAAGGTTAGGAACCCATGGCTTTGGTGGGACCAAGGTATTCCTGGACCACTGGTCACTATACTTCAATGGGTGGTACTAGCCAAAGTGTTTCTTATGGCAGCAGCAGTGGGATTTGTCCTCATTTGCATGTGCTAGCAGCAGCAACAGCAGCATGGTGGAGTGCACACTCATTAACTGCAGCAGGGTACCAGCAGATGCCTGCCTCCCTGCAGGTATTTACAGCAGCAGCAGAGGCAGTATGGCTTTTGAGGAACACAGGGCCCCTGCTGGTGACTGTGCCCACGATGGTGCTGGTGGTGGTTTTAGCATGGGGTGGGGTGCTGCCAGGTACAGGTCTGTGTGTACTCTCTGTGCATGATCACTCAGGCTGGGATGGCTGCTTAGGTTGGGGATGTCCATTGTTCTCCCTGCCTAGTTTCACTCTTGTGGCAATGTTGGTGCAGGAGTGGGGCCCTGGAGGTTGTGGGGCTGTCAGGCTGCAGTGGAGTGAGGGAGCAGGCAGGCTGGTGCATGGCTGTGAGCACTACTCTCCACCAGTCAGGTACAGTCCCCCAATGTAGGAGTATAATGTGGGGCCCCAGCGCATCCAACACTGTACTGCAAGTAAGTGTGGCCAGGCTGGGGCTCCAGGAGAGGCCAGCAGACCAAGGGGTGCTCAGGTTTGGACTAGCCCTGTGTGATAGGCAAGACTGCCCTGCAGCTTTCAGTTCTGACAGTTCCCTTAGGGCTAAAATCTATGGAAGCACAGGTACATCTTACATTGGCAGCAGGCAAGAGGGCATGTGCAGGCGACTGCCCTTTATAAAACTGTTAGATTTCATGAAAACTAATTTACTATCATGAGAACAGCACAGGAAAACCTGTCCCCATGATTCAATTACCTCCCACCAGGTCCCTCCCATGACTCATGGGGATTATGGGAGCTACATTTCAAGATGAGATTTGAGTGGGGACACAGTCAAAGCATATCACTACCTACCACAATACCTGGCATGTAATAGATGCTCAATAAATGTTTGTAGAATAAATCTTTTTTTTTTTTTTAAATTGACCAGTGGTACTACTAGTTTTTTCATGGTTATATTTGTTAGGAAAAACTTTTGTTTGAGTAGTAAATGATAGATGGGGATTTGGAAGGAAGGAGAGAGAAAGAGAAAGAAAAAATAATAAACCATTAGAAAAAACAAGTGCGCACCCCGGCAACAGCCGCCCCCCTCTGGTCCCCCACTCCCCCTCTGTCTCCAAGAAAAATTTGGCCCCTGCTTGGCCACCGCCCAGGATCTGCAAGCTGTGAGCCCATGAGTTTCGGTGCCCATTTGGATTTTCACAATCAGAGATGGCAGCGATGCAGGCATCAACGTTGAAAGCTACCAGGCCTTGGTATTCTCATCCGGTATATGCAAGATACTGGCAACATTATCATCAAGCAATGGCTTGGATGCACAGCCACCAGAATGCCTACAGGAAGGCCGTGGAATCCTATTTCAGTGTTCCATGGTACTTCCCTCCTGTACTTCTTCCCCAAAGCTCTTACAGTATCCAAGCTGCATATCCTCAGTCTTTCTATGATGATCATATGGCCTGGCAGGACTCCCCCTGCAGTTCTTCACATTTCAGAGGGTTTGGGCAGAATCCACATGACAGCAGTAGGATCCAGGCATCCACAAGAGAAGACCAAGCTTTGTCCAAAGAGGAAGAGATGGAGACCGAGTCAGATGCAGAGATAGAATGTGACCTGAGCAATATGGTAATCACCGAAGAGCTCCGCCAGTACTTTGCAGAGACCGAGAGGCACAGAGAAGAACGACGGAGGCAGTAGCAGCTGGATGCGGAGCGCCTGGAGAGCTATGTGAACGCTGACCACGACCTGTACTGCAACATCCCACGGTCGGTAGAGGCCCCAACTGAGAGGCCAGGTGAGCGGCACCAGGCTGAGATGAAGCATTTGTATGGGGACAGCGCTGCCAAGATCCAGGCCATGGAGGCTGCAGTGCAGCTGAGCTTTGACAAGCACTGTGACCGAAAGCAGCCCAAGTACTGGCCGGTCATCCCCCTGAAGTTCCGAGCTCGGGACATAAGGTCCCCAGCCTCTCCCTCTTCCTTTTGGGCACACGCTCTTCATCTCTCCTTGTGTACATTTCTCAGGGAAAGGGGACTTTGTGCTGAGGTATAGGCATGTTCACTACATTCCCAGTGGGCCTGTCACGGGGTGGATAAACTATGCCGGCCATTTGGAGGTTGGCAGGATGTCTTCTGTTGCCAATATGATAAATCATGATAAATTTTCTCCTGAAAAAATAATTTTGTATATATTATACTGGTTTTTTATGTTGTCGGTAACAGGTCAATTTATTAAAGTTCTTGCCTGGAGAAAAAAAAAAAAGAAAAAACAAGTGCACACACACATTAAAGGACACAACTTTTATTTATTTATTTTTTAAATGGATTGTGATTTCAATGGGAATTTTTCCTGGTAAGATGATTCATTCTTAACTCTTGTTGAAATAGAAATGTATTTTAGCTTCAATATTATGATAAATGGGATATACAAGTGTCAGTGCTAATAGCTTAGTATTTTAGTCTTCCGCAACCTGATGCCTGTGGTATCTGAACATTTCATGGCCTGTTCTTGTAAATAAGGAGTCAGTGATATTTAAGGAACAGTAACTGTGGCCAGAAAAGGAAAAAAAAAAAAAAAAAAAAAAAAAAAGGCCAGTGCAGTGGCTGACCTGTAATCCCAGCACTTTGGGAGGCCGAGGTGAGCGGATCACGAGGTCAGGAATTTTAGACCAGCCGGGCCAACATAGTGAAACCCCGCCTCTACTAAAAATACAAAAAAAATTAGCGGAGCTTGGTGGCGGATGCCTGTAATCCCAGCTACTCAGGAGGCTGAGGCAGAATTGCTTGAACCTGGGAAGCAGAGGTTGCAGTGAGCTGATATCACACCATTGCATTCCAGCCTGGGCAACAGTATGAGACTCTGTCTCAAAAAAATAAAATAAATAAAAACTTCATATTTTCCAAGGTAAGCAATATAAATGGGGCTTAGGAATACCCCATTAGATAAAAAAAAAATCTCCTAGAGAGAGAACCCTTGAGCCTACAAACTAAACTTTCAATATAATTTTAAATAAAGGCTTTTATGTAGCATGAGTGCATTTTTTAGTTGATAATCAATTGGCACTATTATGTAGGCCTACTAGATTTGCAAATTTACAAGTTTTTACAAGTCAGTTGGGTCCTTCCTCAGGAAATCAGTTTAAGTTTTTTTTCCTATATTGACTCAAAGAGCCTAGTTGTCCTTAAATCCTGTGCATATATTTGCCTTATAATTTGATGGCATTGAATCAACACGCTTATAGGGTCTGTAGTGTTGTAAAAAGAGAAACTGTTAAATAAAAGATCACATTTGGAAAAATGGACTGTGCCAGATAAAACCAGTATGGGATATGAGTACTGTGCTTTGCTTTAAAGCACCTACTACTATTCAAGGAAATATATCCTTGCCCCTTACTCTCAAAATGGATACTCTAGATGAAAACCAACTGATCTATGTCTTTGTGAAATTAGACTATGGCTATAAATTAATGTAAACACACAATGTAATATTGATCTGTTAAGCAGAAAATTATATATTTGTGTTAACATTCAAGCCTATAGAGATTATAGAGCTAATTATTATTAAAGTAATTCAACTGTTTCAAACCAAATATGCTTGGGTAAGTACACCTTGCCTTCAATTAATCACTATGTTTAAATGTACTATATTAAGTAGATCTTTGTTAAGCATCATCAGTGTGCCTGAACTTATACAGAGAATGATGATAGCTCACAGTTTTTTGTAGCACTTATATGCTGATCATTGTGCATTATACATAGATTAATTATCAAATCACTCTGTACAAAATAAGCATATTTATTATTCCCAGTTTATAGATGTGGAAACTGAGGCATACAGAGGTTTAATAAATTGCCCAAGATTATACAGTTAGTGTCTAAGCTGGAATATAATACTGGAAAGCAAGTCAAATTTTAACATGTTAAAAATGTTTTTATTGACTCTAATATTGAATTCTTTTCTCTCTTTAACACCTTTCTAGTTGATTTGGAGCATATGCGAACAATAAAACCTGAAAAACACTTACGGTTTTGCCAGGAAAACGGTTTTAGTAGCCACTTTGTCTCAGCCAAGACAGGCGACTCTGTAAGTAAAATAATGAATACTGTATATTATAATTGATGGTTTTACTTTTATCTACTAACATTCCTAGGAAGTATATTTCTATTATTTAACCTTTGGAGCAAATTAATTCCTATAGAAGATATGAAATTCCTTAGATTAAGTATACCATGTTTATTCTGGTTATATTTTATAATTCATTTAACATAATTTTATGGTTATTTTAAAAAAGGGAATTAAAATGAATATAACCCCCCCATAATCTCAGTATCCAGAGATAGCCACCTATAACCTCATATGATTCTATCTAGTCTCTCTTCCTTATGCTCACAAGTGCTAGTGCTGCTGCTTGCAGCTAGGAGATGGTATTTATTAAGTGTTTACTTTGTTATAAACATTGTACTACTCTGATTATCTCTATTTTATAGATGAGTCTCAAAGAAATTATGTAATAGGGTCCAGATTACACAGTTAATAAGTGGAGAAGATAGGATTTGTGAAGGCAAATAGTGACACCCTAGGGCTCACAGTCTTAACCTCAACTCTATTTTTAAAATTAAGATTATAATTTGGAAATAATTTTATATTTTACTTTTTACTTAATATTTTTGTAATTCCCAAGTCATTTAATAATAATAGATTTAATAATTTATTTAATAAAGGTTCAAAAATGTATCCAATCATATTCCTATTGTGTAACATATAGGCCATTTCCAAGTTTTGAACATAATGTTCTAATGTAAAACTTTGTCCATAAGCTTTTGATGTTTTGATTATTTTCTTTAGATAGATTCATTGATAAGGGATTGAAACATTGCCAAATCACCACCAGAAAGACTAAATTCATACTATCACCAGCATTGTACGTTTGCCATAACTACATCCTTTTAACATTCAGTATTTATTTATGTATTTGTCAAATTAGTAGACCCCAAAAAAGAAAAAAGATACTTCACTATTTAAATCTGAGTTTCTTTGATTACAATTGGGGTTGAAGTTTTAAAAGTTTTATTAGTTATTCACTTTCTGCTTTTTACTTGTTATAATTTTCTATTGCATTTAGAAATTTTCTATGACCATTTTTATATTAGCGCTAATAGTCGTGTGTCATAATTTTTTCAAATGATCCTCACTGACCCCCATTTGAGTATTTTCCAGTTGACATTTTCAACTAAAAGAAGTTTGAAATGTTTCTGTCGCTTAATCTTTTTGATGTTTTCCTCTGTAATATCCTTTACAGTTTTACACCTAAAATAAATACTGAATAATATAATGGGGGTTTAATCTTTCTTTTGTTCAGACTCATTAAAAATTTTGGCCTCCTAGAACCCTTTCCCCCCAGACAATGTGAACATGGGCACATACTCACCCACCCATGCCTTTTAAAAAATATATAATATCAGTAATCCTAGATAAACTCATCCATGGATTAATTGAGCTTCTACCCTCACTTAATCTTCCTGGGGTCTTTTTTGCCATTTCAGAATTATTTTAACTTGTAGTATTTTAGCTTGTTTTCAACCACCTAGTATTTTTTGGCCACTTAGTGTTTTTTGTGTACTTCTGTTGAACCACTATTAAAAAGCCCCTTTGGGGCAGGAACCCGCATCCAGGAACAGAGCTCTTTGCTCCTCCCTCAGAATGAATGGAGACCAGAAATCAGATGTTTATGTCCAAGAAAAGCAGGATTTCGTTCATTCAGCACTTCTCCCAGATCGTTAGGGTGCTGAATATGAGATGGGGCACCCAGAGACAGGAGATGCTATTGCCCGGCTCAAGGAGTCCTGAAATACAACTCCATTGGAGGCAAGTATCACTGGGGTTTGACAGTGCTAGTAGCATTCCAGGAGCTGGTGGAGCCAAGGAAACAGGATGCTGCTAGTCTCCAGCGGGCCCTGACTGTGGGCTGGTGTGTGGAACTGCTACAAGCTTTCTTCCTGGTGGCAGATGACATCATGGATTCATCCCTCACCCGCTGGGGACATCTCTGCTGGTATCAGAAGCCAGGCGTGGGTTTGGATGCCATCAATGGTGCTATCCTTCTGGAAGCATGTATCTACTGCCTGCTGAAGCTCTACTGCCGGGAGCAGCCCTATTACCTGAACCTGATTGAGCTCTTCCTGCAGAGTTCCTATCAGACTGAGATTGGGCAGACCCTGGACCTCATCACAGCCCCCCAGGGCAATGTGGATCTTGGCAGATTCACTGAAAAGAGGTACACATCTATTGTCAAGTACAAGATGGCTTTCTACTCCTTCTACCTTCTTATAGCTGCAGCCATGTACACGGCAGGAGTTGATGGCGAGAAGGAGCATGCCAATGCCAAGAAGATCCTGTTGGAGATGGGAGAGTTCTTTCAGACTCAGGATGATTACCTTGACCTCTTTGGGGACCCCAGTGTGACTGGCAAAGTTGGCACTGACATCCAGGACAACAAATGCAGCTGGCTGGTGGTCTAGTGTCTGAAACAGCCCACTCCGGAACAGCACCAGATCCTGAAGGAAAATTACGGGCAGAAGTAGGCTGAGAAGGTGGCCTGAGTGAAGGCATTATATGAGGAGCTGGATCTGCTGGCCGTGTTCTCGCAGTATGAGGAAGACAGTTACAACCACATTATGGGTCTCATTGAACAGTACGCAGTGCCCCTGCCCCCAGCTGTATTTCTGGGGCTTGCGCGCAAAATCTACAAGCAGAAAAAGTGACCTAGAGACTGCAAGGGCAGGGAGAGGAGGGTCTCAATTAATAAATTATTGTGTAAAAAAAAAAAAAAAGCCCGTTTATTTAAAAGCCCGTTTATTTTTTTCAAGCAGTACTTTGAAATGGTTTGTATGACAATACTTTAAGACTTGTAATCATCTCCAGCTCCAGGTAACTTCCTCTCATTGCTTGAGGAGTTAGTTGAGCTCCTGCTTTACTACACTTTGTCTGATATTACCTCTGTCATAATTCTTAGTGATTTCAGTATCCTTGTTTCTCTCTGACTCCACCTTAGCCACTCTCGCGTACTACAGATCTTGTCATTACAAATTACTGTGGCTCTTCTATTATCTCAATATCAGGCATCCTAATCACCACCAACCATCTTCTGTTTCACACCCTTGACTGCCCAAGATAACCATTCTCAACCGTAGCAAGACCTACAGACATTGATCATAACACTTTTGCAAAATCTTAACCTCTTTTCATGTCTTCATTTTTCTCTCTTCTGAACTTAAATCTCATGGCCAGTCCAAATCATTGCTATGTGTATACTCTCAATTCCCTTTTCTCTCTTTCACTTTGTCAGATTCACTTGGCTAAATGTTAATTCTGGTTTAAACCAAGCCTCCACTTTTCATGGCTGTACCCATGAAGATGACCAGAAAAAAACACAGAGGGATGCTGGAGGTTTCACTTTAAGTTCACAATCACTAATCTCAAGTGGGCCCTTAATGCTGCTCAGTAATTAGGCCCTATATCCCTAATCTGTCACCTCTTCCCTCACCTAGATGACTATTTCATACCTTCTCTTCTTCAAATGTTCAAACCATCCTCCTCTCTTCTCTCAGCTGATAACCTTGTTTCCTATAAGAAATTTGAAAGAAACAGGAGACAACTTCTACATGCTGCTGCCACCAGGTCTAACCTCATCCTACTTACCCCATGTGTTCTCATACCGTCTGTCTTCTCTGTGGTTACTATGGGATTTATTCTCCCAGCTAGGGCCAGGAGAATAATTTGCTGAATCAAGAATATTACTTTATCACTTCTCTCTCTTTCATGTGTATTATTTTTCCCATCTACTGGATTATTCTTTCACCATACGAAATATTATGACTTCTTTTATCATAAAAACAAGAAAACTCTTGATCCCTCATTTTTTTTCTAGCTGTTGCCTTATTTCCTTCCTTTATTTTCCAGTGGGATGTTTTGAAAGAGTTGTCTCTAGTTCTTCTTTTCCAAATTTCTCTTTAACAGTTCCAGCAGACTTTTGCCTCAGTATTTTATTCAAACTACTATTATCCAGGTCATCAGTGGCCTCCTTTTTGCTGAATCCGATGGTCAGTCCTCAGCCCTCATCTATTTGATTAAGTAGCAACATATGTAATTGCTGCTCACTCTCTTCTCTTTGAAATACTCTCTGCATTTAGCTTCCAGGATACAACACCTCCTGTTTTTTTTCCTACTCGCTCACTACTCTATCAGTCTCCTTTGCTAATTTTCTCATCTCTCCACCCAGCTCAGGTTCAGTCCTTAGGTTTCTCTTTTTCTACACTTATTCACTTAGTGGCTCTATTTAGTCTTCTGGCTTTGCCCAGACTTTTCCCCCTGAACTCCAGACTCTTATATCTAACTGCCTGCTCAAGATCTCCACTTAGATGTCTAACAGGCTGCCCAATTTAACATGTTTAGAACTGAGCTTTGGATATTCTCTCCTCAAATCTCTCACAGTCTTCCTCACTGTTGTAAATAGCAGATATATCCTACCAGTTGCTCAGACCAAAAAGTTTTGAAGCCAATTTTGACTTCTCTGTTTCTCTCTCACCCCACATCTGTCAACAAGTCCCTTTGGCTGTACTTTGAAAATATACCCAGAACCTGCTGACTGTTTCTTACTGTGTCCACTTCTACCATTTTGGTTCAGCCTTCATAATCTTTTACATTAGTTTACTTGATTGATTTCTTTTTTTGTATAGTTAGTCTCCTATAGTGAATGCTCAATACAAACAACCAGACTAATGCTGTTAAAAGTCACATTAGGCCACCCTCCCATGCCTTCCATTTCATTTGGAATAAATGCCAAAGTCCTTCTAGTAGCCTACCAGGTTCTACATGCTTTGTACTGCCTTCATCTCTTTGTTTATCTTCTTTTATAACCACATTTTTTCTCCACTCCAACACAGTACCTTTCCTGTTGTTCCTTGAACATTGACCATCAGTGAACTAAAATATATTATGCTTCTTAGTGTACAGATGGCATAAAGCTATCAGGAATATTTTTCCCTTTTTTGTTAGAAATAAATATGAATAAAGTTTTGATAAATATTTTGTAAATAATGTCATGAGTAGGGATAAGAATATGGTAGGTCATTTATAAAGAAAATATAAGTTATACTACAGTGAATGTCAGGATTGGAACTCTAGTAATCATAGTAGACCTGGCGTAAGCTAACTATGTGTGGAAAGGCATATAGAAAAATATTTGTCAATTTTTGTTTAATCATAATGGAATATAATTTTTCTTTAAACTGACAAAATATAGTAAAGAGTACCAAGTTGCTTTACTCAAGATACATGGAGAATTTGTTGGAATGATATGAAAGGCCACAGAGATTGTTAGAGTGTTGGCAAGTAAGACCCTTTAAGATAGGCTAAAAGTGGCTAAAATGACCAACATAAAATCGGTGGTGAAAAACTAGGGAAGTAAAGTATAGATTGTTTTATTTTCTCCAGGAATTATGGAGTTTTTATACTAGTGAGTATGTTGTTTTGTAGTTTTTTAAAGTGGTAGCTGTAATCATCATACTAAATCTTTAATGTATGTGTTTAGAGAAAATGATCAATTCATTGAATTGCATGGAGTTCTAAATTATGGATTAATAATTTAAAAATTATTATATTTAAAATGATGCTACATTTGACAAAGCTATTTTTGGAATCACTTGCTACATCATATTTTTACAATTATTACTGTTTATCATTTTTAAGAAAATTCTGTTTATTTGAAGATAACTTAAGCATGCCTCTTTGACATCATTTAAACCTGTTTTTGTTATGTAGGTCTTCCTGTGCTTTCAGAAAGTTGCTGCTGAAATCCTTGGGATCAAATTAAACAAAGCAGAATTAGAACAGTCACAGGTGATTACCTTGAACTTTATATTTAAAAAATTAATGAATTTCTTACAAAGCATTAATTATGACCCATAAATTATTTCCCGTTTATGCCTTCTGTGTATGTATCTCTAAAAGCTTTGGACGTAGATTGTATGCATGAATCAGTGTTGATTGCAGAAGATGGAGAATGTTAACTTTTTGCCAAATTATGATACCCTTCAAACCTCGTTGTGCCTCTTTTGTTGGGAAAAAAGATACTTAGTATAATGAAAATTTTATTAGTGGTTAACTAATGAGTTAAGGTGCTGAAAATATTGTTTTGTACCTTTTTATTTAAATCCTTTTCAGAGCTTCTATTCATTTTTAAAACATCCTTGACTGTAATTAGTTTTTAATGTTATTTTGTTGTCAGTTTAATAACGTTATTAATTAGTAAGGATTTCTAAGTTTTCTCACTGTTCCTAGATAGTTCTCTTACAGTAAGAAAAAGACATGCAACCAGCAGCCAAGAACTTTAAAATACCACTATAATATCCCACTAATTTATATGTTTGATAGAATGAAAAATCAGAGCAAGAGTCTATAAAGTTACGCTTCAGAAGTGGTTTGGTTAGACAAAACAAACTAATTACAATTTTCCTGAATTTCTTCCACCCTATTCCCACCCGGTGCAACTAAAAAGTATAATTACCTTTTTCCATCCTTAAATTTTTCTTTAATTCTTTTAGAGTTAGTTTTGTATCTTATTCTCATGGTCCCTCCGTGTGTGTGTGTGTGTGTGTGTGTGTGTGTGTGTGTGTGTGTGTTTCCAAACAAAGCAAATATTGAAAATTGTTAGACTGATGTGGCTGTTTCTAGGACTTGATTAAAATATTTGAGGCTATACACATTTGCTACTTTTAATTCCCATCATTCAAAGACATTTGTTTTAGCACTTTCTGTGGCCAGATATGGTACTAAGATACTTTGTGCTGTTTAGCTCCCAGACACATGAAAAGTGGTTACTTGGTTTGGGTCTAGGAGAATATAAGAAAGAGAAGGCACCATGATTTGCTTGATCACACAGAACTTGGATTCCCAGAGGTCAAGTGATTCCTTTCCTTTTTAGTTTATCTGTCTGAATAATGTTTGTCTCTGCTTAATTAGAGAATCTGTGATTATCATAAGTGATTTATTGATCGTACCTTATATACTCAGTATAGTGGTGGGTCTAAAAAAGAATTAAAAGACTTTAAAATGTCCCTGTTTCAGTGAAGAAAATTAATATGTTATGTGCCAGGGGGACTGCGTTATCTCAGTTAATCCTCATAATAACTCTGGATCAGGTGAAATTTTATCATTTTATGATCAGGAAGCTGAGACTATGGAGAGATTAGGTAACTTGATCACTAAACCTTAGTTGGGCAATGGTGGAGCCAGGATTTACACCCAGGTCGCTCTGACACCAGTGCCCTTGGTGTTTTCACTCTACCATACTGGGGGAAGGTATACTGGGCAGTTTGGAGTGAATGGGAAAAAATGGCTGAAAGAGGAGCTGGTATGAACAATATACCTGGGTACAAAAGCTTAGGTTGTATTTTGCAAACAGAATCATTTGTTTAAAATAAATGACCTTTTGTATCAGACTATAAAGAGTTTGAGAACAGATTTTGGGGATTTATGAATGCCAAGTTGATTAATTTTATTTGACCCATAATCATTTTGAGGTAGGGCAATAAATGAAAGCAGTTTTTAGATAGAAGTAATCTAATGGGATATTTTTGTATGTCGTTGGATGGGAGGGAGATTGAGGTAAGGAGACTGAGTTACTGCTACCATGTGATAAGGACCAGAGTCAAGGTGGAAGGGAAGAGCTGGATGGATATAAGGGAGATTTTAAAGAAGAACCAATAGGGCTTGTGGAATGATGTGGTAAAAGGTAGTAGAAGTCCAAGATAACCCTGAGATTCCTTGCCTGGAGGAATGAAGAAAGGGGAAACCCAGTGATTGGTGGTCTTTCTGAGACGGGGAATGGTGGGCTGGTGCTTTACAGGTGAGAGGGCCGCACCGAAGAATTCCTTGTACTGCCTGAGCTGTGCAGTGGTGCTCAGATATAGGAGACCGCTGGAGAGATGAAACAACTGGATACTTTTGAAAGGCAAAATTTGGGGAAGCTTTATTAATATTAGCTCCTTCTTGTTGTAAGATCAACAGAGTTGCTATTTTGACTTTAGATATGGGCTTAACATTCTGGTATATTTTAAATAAAGAGATATTAGATGTGTTAACACTCTACCCTCCCTGCCCATCTACCTTGTTTATTATGCTTTGAGGTTTAATTCTATCTTTGATTTGTCAGTGACATTTACTCTTAATGCATTCATTTGAAGGTGAATTTAAGCTACCGCAGCCCTCTATATGTTTGTCAAAATTTTTTGTGTATAGCAAGAAGCCTCATTAGCATTTCTTGATCCTGATGAATTTGGTGTTTTTGCCAATTAAATTATTGATTTTACAATTGATATTTCTTAGTGGAAACATTTTTGAAAGTTCATCTAAAAGACAAGAAGTGCAGATAGCATGCACACGCGTGCACACACACACACACACACACACTCTGCATGTGGTTTTTGCAACATTTGAAAGATTACTGGAGGAATTCAAGGGAATGTTTGAAAACACTTTGTATTATTTTATAGAGAAGGAGTTAAATGGCAGACTCACCAGTCACATTGATATTGATGCTCTACTATAATAACTTAGTTTGTGACATAAATATTTTGAGATTTTAGTCCTAGTTCCATTCACTGATTATTTAAAGAGATTCTGGTAGTTTATTTCTAACCTAGATTGCTCCTATTTGGGAGTTATATATAAAATTAGATATCAACACATTTTGCAAGCTTTGCAAGGAAGAGGAAGAGAGAGAAAAGAAAGTGAATGTACAGTAAACATACTTTGAGGGACAACACTAGAATCTGGGGATACAGAGATGAATAAGAGAAGGTCCCTATCCTCAAGGAGCTCCCAGAATAAGTGGGGCAGCCAAACATTTAAACAATGAACACTATAGATCCACTTTCACAATTCCCAGCTTGGTTAATAGTTTCATTTGCATCATTTATGTAGTCTTCCCTTTTCTCCCCGACCAACCGTTGATCCTCTAAGATAGTGTAAGAATTGATACTATTGTTAACAAGTGTTTTAGTTTCCCAGGTTGTTCAGATTTTCTATTTGCAAAGTACTTAGAACTTTAGGAGAAAATATAAATTTACAACTACTATTGTTTAGGAAATCCAGCAATCAGCTGTTTAAGAGTGCATTAGATAATCGATAAAGAAAAAGCTTATTCCGTTGAGCTCTGTCTTGCGTCCTCCAGTTTGAATTGCAAGGAAGTTTTGCCATACGTACTTGGTGTTAAGAGCTTAATACATTTTTAAGCATCACCATTTTTACTTGTCAATTAATAAACTATGAATTTCAGCCTGGTTTGAACTAGATATATATTAGCTTTTAAAATAACAAAAATTTCTGTCAGAGATATTCATTAAACTTGCTAAAAATATATATTCCTTATTGTCACCTCAAATTATTTTCAGACTGTATATGAAGGTATCTCACGAAGGGCTTGGCATGTGATAGACATGCTCAAGATTTTGGCTGTCTTAACTGGCATATAATTGTACAGTGCAAGTACCCATTTAACCTTTGGTCTTAAGAGCCCTTTCTGCTTTTTAGCTTTACCTGAGTATTGATCTTCCTCAGATTTTTTTTTACCCAGATATTAATTTTTTACATTCATTTTCCCCAATATGTTTATTCAAACTGTACTGGGATTTCTTTCTTATCCTAAACACCACTTGTTTTCTTGAGGAGCATATTTTCTCATTTTGTACATACTACTCTATTCTCAGGTATTGAACATTGCTTAAGGGATTCTCATATCACATCCCATTTTTCTTTTTCCTATTCATCTTTTAATTTTTTATTATAAAATTTCAAAGCCAGATGGGACTTTAGAGATAATGTAGGTAAACCTTGTTTTTATAGATTAGAAAATTGTGAAGACAGAAGTAAATAACTTGCACAATGTTTTCTTACTGGCAGCATATAATGGCCCCTTCATTATATAGAAGAAGAGTAGCTTTTTTAAAACTCCTGTGTGGAAAGTACTATGCTTTTTAACATTATATCCTATAGCCATGCTTTAAATTGTATTCTATAATCTTGTTGTACTTTGAATGTACATCACTCAGAATATTCTGCAATAGTTTACACATCTATTTTCTATGCTAGACTCTTATGTATCTCAAAAAACAGAGATTATGCATTATTTACCTAAATGTTTGCAATACCTGGGGTAGTGATTGGCTTTGAATGAATGATAGTGACAGATGTTTTAGCCTTCAGGGTGTGTTTACTCCATATCCTCGGCATGACAAACTATGGCTTTTGAAGTGTTAAATATGTTACTATTATCTGGAGTAAGGTCTAGTTGCACAGTTGACCCAATTTATCTTTAGCATCTCTGCAAGAGCCCATCTATACACTTTACACCTTTTTGCCCCAAATCATAGGTTGGTTTTTTGCTTATGCCCTCCATAGCTACCACTTCCATTTCCAGTATCCATTTGGCAAATGCTCTTTGAAAATATCAGGCTTAAACTTGTGTTCACCCATATGATTCCTTTCCTCTTAGGGCCACTTTGTTATTTTCATTTCATCAACTAACAGCAGAGAATAATTGAGTTTACATTGTGGCTCTTAAAATAAAGGTTGGTGTTTTGCAGGTAACATTTCTCTAAAAACATCAATAAATGGCTTTTAAATAAGCTGACTACAGTGAAATCACCTACCATGAAGTTTATGACATGGAAATTATGTTTTTCTAATCATAGGAAGCGAAATTTGGAATCTGCAGAGCTTTGGTTACGGGTTACTTTTAGGAAACATTTTACAAAGCTTTATGTCAAATAGACAAAGCCCCTGAGAGAGATGCTGTCTTGTTAATTCTTCATTAATGTGATTAAAATTAATAATGAAATCCAAGTCATTTACGTTAGTCAGTACTTGGATCAAAATGTCTCGAGCACAGGAAAGTAATTTGGTTGTATTTATGGGGTAAGACTTAAACCAACATTTGGTTGGATTAATGAATTGCTTACTGATTCTGAAAACCCCATCTCTTCATTGTAACCCATAGTTTGGCATGAAACAATTAGGTTTGTTAGATAATGGTATACAATATTTCACTGACGTACCCCCCCAGCTCATACCTCATTTGTTAGTTGGTAATGCTTCTGTTGATAGCATCAGGCTGAGTGCCTAGTAAATCATGAGTCTTGTCCGAAAGTTAATGCTGCTTATTCCTAGAGAACTTAAACAGAAGCCACCCAAGGCTAATGTATGCTTCAGCATCCTATTCATTTACTCTCAGTTCTTTATAGAATCTTTATTTATAAATGTAATCACAGACAGCAGCTCATATTAAGATGCTTTTCGGTCTATCTTAATAAATTAATAGATGCTATTATGAAAGATGAGTGTCCTGAAATAAGATATTTGAAATCACATGGATAGTGAGGATAGTTTTAAATCTAAAATTTGGTTTTAAATCTAAAATATTTGGGTAAAATTTAGATTTTAAATCTAAAATCCTAAGGGTAATAGCAATTAAGAATATAACAATGTAATAACAAGTAATTTTGTATTTAGTAAAACTATTAGATATTTGAAAGCAACAGCTGTTGTACTTACATGTTGTACCTCATGTATTTTTTTTTTTACATGACCTACAACTGCATTTTGAACTTGTTTGTTTCTATATGGAATTTGGAAGTATGGGGGTTAAGATTGGGAGGAATGGGGGAGTGAGCATCACAAGGAAGTCTTGGACAAGTAATAAATACTATTCAACATAAACACTGTAAATGGCATATGACTTCCTCTGATGTCTTCATTCCTCTCCCCACCTTCAAAGATAATTAATTACTCCTTCCTCTGTGTTTCCATAGCATATTATAAGTCCACTAGTTAAGTGTTTAACTTGTATGGGAATTAGTTGTATATGTGTTTCTCTTTCCATTAGGTCCTCAGCAACTTGTGAATAGATTCTGTGTAAGTCGCCCGCACATTCACAGTATAGAGTGACTGGCACATAGATCTTGGGTAAAGCTTGTTAATGGAAATGGAATTAATCTTTTTATTGTACTTTAACATAGAAAAACCTCATAATTTTTCATAGTCCTCTGAAATACTGGGCATTATATATGTTAGATATAATTGTATTATCAAAAAATAGAACTCACAGTTTGGGAAGTTCAGTGGTCATATCTATTTCAGTAATTATAGAGTTATAAAGAATAGTGTTTCTTGGGTCTTTGTTCCTTTTCTTTCTTTTTGTATGTGTACATCCTGCTGTTTGTGTGTGTGTATGTGTCTGTGTGACATGTTTACATTTATATGTTAATTTGATTTTTCTACTTTGGTGTTTCCTTCTCTGTTCAGTCATTGAACATACTTTCCATTTTGTCTTTTTTTTTTTTAATTCTTTCTTCTTTGTCTCAATTATGTTGTATGGAATTGACAGCGTATTGTCAGGGCAGAAATTGTGAAGTACCCGGAAGAAGATAATCAACATACCAGCTCTGCTCAGAGTAGAATCTGTTCAGTACAGTAGTGCAGGTATTAAGGGATAAATTATTACAATTAAGGGAGGTGGGATGGGAGAACCAGTGAATGCTATCTTGTTCTTTATTCTTTATGAGTAGGGAAGTTCAGATGATTATTGTACATTATTGGAAATTAATATTGCATAAGTCTTGATTTAGAACTAAAAAATTGGTCCCCTGCCAAGAGACATGAATTAAGAAATTGGGAACAAATTAAAATAACATTTCAGTTACTTTTAAATATATTTGTCTTTATGGTTGTGTTTATTACATGTGCAGTGAAGTGGAGAATTGAGGCAGTTATTTCATTATTGATTCCTTACCATTTTTCCTGAAATAGCTTGGTAATTGAAAGAGTATTTTTAAAATTTGCCTTGAAATGCCCTTCTTTGTCTGCTTGTGTGTGCAGACTTCGTAAAAGAGTTGAAAACAGTAAAGGATTTGTTTTAAAGTATTACTGAGAGATGAATAGTAAGCATATTGCTAAATGTATCATTTTAGATATTCCTTGAAGTAGTAGAAGGAAGGAGGGAAGAAAGTATCTTTTGGTTTAAATTATTTTAAAAACATGAAGTAATTTTCTAAATTTTTCATTATACCGTATTTTGTTAAAGTTGTATTCATAACCGTTAGTGAGCCATTTGGAAATAAGTTAGGGATTTTGGAGGAAAGTTTTAGAAATTGGAAAAGATTTAAAAATGGGTTACTGAGAGCATTTCTGTTTTATATATGAATCCTCTTTAACATTTAAATGTTTTCTTACAAACTCACAAACTGCTGTAAACAAAGTTACGGCTAAATATAATGGCTTATGGAAATATTAATCAATAATGATATTTTTTACTTTGAAATGATGAGTTCTTTTCTATGATTTCAAATATGTGTGAATGATTCATTTAAATTCTTTTGCTTTAAATTATTATCAGGGTTTAATTTTTCATTATTGATTTGTGAAGTTTTCATCAGACTTGTGATAACCTCAAGTTAATGTCATAAAACCAGGGACAACTCAATAGCTGAGTTGCCATTCTCTCCTTGGAAAAAAAAAATCCACTCTTCATTTGTTTGTCTGGTTTATTTTATATCAACTCCTGCTTCATTTATGGTGTCCATCATCAGAAGTTCAGCAAAGTTCAGAAAATAAAAATATACTTTAAGGAGCTCTTTCTAAATGTCCTGATGTCCTGATAATAACTCTGTTTTCTTTTATGACAGAGAGTGGTGAAGGCAGATATTGTAAACTACAACCAGGAACCTATGTCAAGAACTGTTAACCCTCCTAGAAGCTCTATGTGTGCAGTTCAGTGAGCACATTTTTCTTTTCTGTTGATAGTTCTGGCTGCCCTTCACCTCTGGGTGGGCCGGAGGATTTCTAGGAACTTGTTTTATCAGTGACCATCTCTGTAGTTCAGTTAACACTTTCCTCCCAACTTGCTTCGTCATTGCTGTTGCCTCACAGTGGCAGGCAGCTCCTTGGATTTGAAAGAATTCAACTTTGGGACCACACACTTTGAATTCAAAATGGAAAACCCATTCCCTGGAATTAGACTGCTTCGTTGAGAAAGAATGATGTTGCTTCTTTATATGTCCTTGCTTCTTTTTTCAGTGATGTAAATTTTTTTAACTTAATAGGAAAACTACTCAAATCTTGATCATCAGCCAGGATTTTGCCACAGCACAGTTTCATTCTCTTGTCTGAACTCATATGTGTTAAAGTATACTTCAGAGTATAAACATTAAGCAAGTAATATATTTTACCTACAGATACTTATGAAAACATTCTTTTGCTATCTATTGTGAGTAAAAATATATAAAGCTGTATCTAACAGAAAATGCTTGAAATGAGGCTGTAATAGAAATATTTTTTCATTTTTTAAAAAGGAGCCTAAATTGTTTATATTGTAGTTTGTAACTCACAAAGTAGTATTTGATATTGTATTTTTATTACTGTATCCTTGTCATTATGTATTGTATAATACTCAGGTTTCATGGCTTTAAATGTCCCGCTTATCTTCCACATGGAATTTCTCTTCCAAACTGCATAAGAGTACTCCCAAGAATGAGTTATGACATTGTGGATCAGACTGTACCTGATGTTCAGAAGTTTCTCTTTCACAAATAAATTTATTTAAATTACTTCTTTTGGCACTTTTCTCTCAAACATCTTCCTTTTTGTTATAGAAAGGCAGTGTATAATTTGGATACAAAATAGGTGACTCTCTGTTTAACGTATAGTCAGTTACTTAGAGTTGTGAGGTTATTTTGTTGGAGCAATTAAAATGTAGACTCCATAGCTTGGCATTTCAGAGACTTCATCTCAGCTGCCTCTTACCTTTCTACCTTTTCTCATCCCACTCCACTGTACCATCACTACTTATCTGCAAACAGAGCTATGGACTCATTCCTATTTGCTTTGTGATGCTCTGCTTTCCTGTTTTTGCTCAATAGGTCCTCTGCTGGGAATTCCTCCCCCTTCTCCAGATGTCTACCTCCTGCCAGCCAACCTTTAGGTTCTGTGAGGGCAGGACTCTGTTTGTCTTGGCCATAGTTGTTTTTTTTTTTTTTTTTGTGCTAAGACACAGTGCCTGGCATGACAGGTGCTCCATATTTGCTACATTGAAGCGGGAACAAAAGTCACCGTCACCCCTCCAAAAGCCAGTCCTTGTCTCCCCAGCTTTCTGCCTTGAATCACTGCTATTTGTGCCCCTATTTTTATTGTTTAATAATCTATGAGTTCATTGAAGGGCAGCTCTGGTTTCTTCTCTCTCATGTCTCTTACAGTGCCTAGCAGTGTGTCTTTGTCTTAAATTTGGAACAGGTGTGTAGAAATTTGGACACCTAATTTTAGAGCTGTAAGGGGTTTTGGAAAACTTCTCACATCCTTATGTGGCTAAGGAAACTGAAATATAGAAAGAAAAAGTAACTTGACAGAGATCATGGAATCATAGAGCTAGACTTGTTAGATCTGTCTCTGGCCAATAAATTTTTAAAAATAATTAAAATATTTTGAAAATTGTGACTCTACTTGTTAGTGGGTCCAACCTCTTTCTACTTTGATTTTTATATTTTTCATTTTATAACAATTTAGCAGACTTGTCAGCCCTTCTGTTGATAAGCCCTTCAAGCGATTGCAGCTTATCTTCCTGATATGTGAAGGCCAGTTGACTAAGGATGTTAGTAGAATATAAAGTTAAATAAATGAGATCTCAACCCTTGAGGAGTTTACAGTCTAGTGGGAGAGATGTTTGTTGTTGTTGCTGCTGTTTTAAAAGCTGTGATTGAGTGAGGACTTCTACTAAACTAAACTTGTCCAAGGCTTTATATTTAGTTAAAGGTGAGGCCATGCTCCTTTTGGTCCTTTTGTG